TACTTGGTGGCCCATCTCAAAAATTAGATTCCATTAAACTTTGAGTCAGAGAGCTAGTCTTAGCTTTTTGCTAAAAGAAAATTTCTCTGAAGAGATTTTCCTCTTTAACTTGCTATAAAAATTCCTCCCGCTGGGAGTATTGTACAGATCCTTATTCACTTATTTTCTTGAAAAAGCACTCTCCAGTTGGCCAACTGACCTGTTGGTTAGCTAATATAGCCTGTCTGCATGTTCAATTTTCAATTGCTTTCAATTTGTCTCTTGTAGTATCATTATCACTATTTCTACATTTAAATGCAATCCATATGAAAGAGACGGGAAAAGAGATCTTCGAAAGTTCTACAACCATCATTGCATATTCCTCTTAAGTTGCATCAAATTGATTTTGTTTGTGGATACTTCACATTTCTGTGGCAAAAAATAGAGCTTCTACTCCCTGTGCAATCCCTGTTAAGCACTTCAGCCAATATCTGAAATCCAAATATTTTCCTATAACTGATTTTGGAACCTGATCATTTTGTTTTCTTTTGAGCCAAACTTGTCTCTTCATCCTGTGCTTAATTGAGTGGATGGAGACAGTGGCAGGATGTGCTGCATTGCACTATATAGTTTACCAACTTAATGCAATGCACAGGAATCTTATAAGTTTCTTACTATTTGTAATGTTAATTCACTTGCCCCTCTCAGCTGCTGCATTCTAATTTGATGTGTTGATACTGTTTTGTAGAGAGTGATGAGTTACATAAAGACATTGAACAGCTGTGTATGCAGCAAACTGGTCCTGGTTACCTTGCTGTGGCTACTCGAATGCATTTTCAGAGGTATATTATTTATCTCAAGTCCATCAGATGAAGTTGTTATCATTAATATTTTTTTTGGTAGGTATGCGTTGGCATTATCTTTTCAAATTGGAAATAAGAATGCATTGTGAATTTATCCCCCCCATTAGGACAGCTGGCTTGGAGCAGGAGATTGAGAGCTTGAAAAAGAAGTTAACTGCTTGCACTAGAGAGAAGTTAAATCTCCAAGAGGAGCTTTCGGAAGCTTACCGTATCAAAGTGAGGCTCCTTACCTTTTTTCACTTTGTTATTTTTTATTTTTATAAGCACTTGCATAGTCCTACTGCCAACAATCTTACATGTTTCCTATTTTGTCTCAGGGCCAGTTGGCTGATTTACATGCTGCAGAGGTATCAAAGGTATCGCTCTCTTTCTCTCTCTACATCCAGCACATGTGTTCACATTGGAGGTGTTGGCAGGAAGTTAACTTATGAATTATTCACTAATGGAATGGTAGCTTTCCTACCAGTGTTAGGTTTTTGGGCAAAGAATGCCTACTGGTTTATTCTTTTAGATTGCATATTGATTGAAGTGATGAAACACTATGCCAATGATGTTTCCCACTTTCTGGAGAGTTTCTTTGTTCCATTATTTTTGTAATTGTTAAGGTTTGAAAAAATTCATACAAGCACTCTAACTTTAAAAAAAATATAGTATCCATGTTGATTATGAAACTCTATATAAAAAAAAAATTATTACCATCAAAATTGATGTAAACAACATGTTATTTTATTTGATAGTAATATGTTACTCTATCTCACAATAACATGTTATTCTGATTCATAGTAATATATTACTTTGCTAATATTGTCCAAGGAAAAAAAAAAAAGAAGATATTTTACTTTATCCTTATTTAATATTATGTGTCTCCTACTTAAGGGTTTATGAAGTAAATAAATTAGGTTATATTTTTCACTAAATAAAGGTCTAAGGAAGGGGTTTTGACTAAATTTTTTCAATAACAAAATATATATATATACCGTTAATATTCGTACTACCCATAAATTAAAATTTTGAATTTCATCATTTCAATATATGATTGAAAGTGTGAGAAATCTTTTGTTGAGAAAATTGTTAGAAAGTCCAATTTAAGGAGTGTATAAGACATTTATTTGGGGTATACTAATAAGTACTTATTTTTTATCTTTTTTTTTTTGATCACATCATCTCTCTACTTTTTTTGCATATCTTTTCGTAAAAAGTCAAAAAGTCATTCCGAATATACTAATTTTTTTTTAGTTCATATTTTAGTCAATGTTGTGTACGGGTAATTCATGTTTCATTTAGGTCCTTTCATGGTTTGGGGTCTCCATATGCTACTTCATGTTATATCTCTCTTTTATTCCCCATTCTTGCATGTTTAGTTAGCCTATCATGCTTTTGTTTTTGGCCATTTTACAGTTCTGAAAAAGTGCTTATTTTGGTCCATTCTTCATGTTTCATTTAGGTCCTTTCATGGTTTGGGACTTCCATATGCCACTTCATGTTATATCTCTCTTTTATTCCCCATTCTTGCATGTTTAGTTAGCCTATCATGCTTTTGTTTTTGGCCATTTTACAGTTCTGGAAATAGTTCTATTTTGGCCCATTCTACATGTTTTGTTAAGGGTCTTTGGCTGTTTGGTGAATGCTTTGTACACCTCATGTTTTAATCACTTTTGAGCCTCATTTTGCATGGCATTTTAGGCATACTTGTATATTGTTTTGGAGTTTTTACAGTTCTGTAAATATGCATATTTTTGGTCCCTCATCAGTTCTGTAGAAGGATGTTTTTCTATTTGAGCTTTGTATATACCACTTCCTTCTTTGGCCACCTTTTGGCCCTTTTTCTTGCACAAGGGTGCAGCCATACTTGTGCTGGTTTTTGAGGTTTTTACAGTTCTGGAAAAGATCATATTTTGGGTCCCTCTTCAACTTTGTTGAAGGGCCCGAACCTGTTAGGGGACAGCAGCTATGAGTTGCTTCTTAATCTCATGTTTATTCCCCATTTTTGCATGCTTGTTTTGCCATGTTTTTGCCCACTGTTTGGCCATGCTATCAACTGGAAAAGTGCTTATTTTGGGGCTGCCTTGCTTCTGTATTTACATTCCATGTCCATATTGTGCATGTTTGGCATAGCTATAGGCCATTCCGGGTGCCATAATCCATCTTTCGGGACTTTTTCATGCATCGGGTGTGTTTTCGCCTCATTTCGGGGCTGTTTTCCCCCACATTTTAGTGCTCAAATCCCATTAGCATGCTTGCATAGCATTTTCCATGTCATTTGCATTGCGTATGCATTGCCTCGGTTTGCGTGCCCGTGTGCACGCATTTCGAGGCACTTCATTTTCTGCCATCGGCATCTTATGTGAGTGCGGCTGAGGCTCTCTCATGCTAGTATAAGTCCATATTGCATTCTGTATGTCATTTGCATTGCGTATGCATTGCCTCGATTTGCGTGCCCGTGTGCACGCATTTTGAGGCACCTCATTTTCTGCCATCGGCATCTTATGTGAGTGCGGCTGAGGCTCTCTCATGTTAGTATAAGTCCATGTTACATTCCATATGCCATTTTAGCCATATTGCATTGCATATGTCATCGCCTCGGTTTGCGTGCCCGGGTGCACGTATTTCGAGGCATCCTTTTTTTACAGCATAGTGCATACTAGGTTGTATCTTAGATCGCATTCATGCATTTTCTCGGTTTGCGTGCCTGCGTTCACGCATTTCGAGGTATCTCTTTCATGACATTTCACATGTTAGGATTGTATCTTACTTGCATTTCATGCATATCATGCATATTGCATCGTGTTCGGGATAGGAGTTAGCCCGGGCACGGGAAACGAGGTACATTTCGTACTCCGAGTGACGGAATGTATCTCAATTCATGATGGAGTTAGGTTTTAGCTGTGTTTTCATGTGCATTCATCCTATATTGAATCATGCATTTCGACTCCTCGGCCATCATGCCTCGGTATGCGTGATTGGTGGCACGAGGATCGAGGCATGCATTTATCTGTGCAAATACATTGCTATGCCCCTTTCCTGCTCTCTGTTGCAGCAAATAAAGAATCAGCAACTTTTCGGAGCTTGGCGCGCTTTCCAAGAATAACTGCTAAACAGAGGCTAATCGGGGCATCCCGGTGGATTTCCGCGCAAGACAAACCGGACGTACATCATTCATCAGAAGCAAGGCAGTCCCTGGCTTGCATGCCAGTTTTACAGTTTTCTTAATTAATCTGTTAATTAATTAGGAATTTGTATATTATTTGGACTGTATTATTCGGACTGTAATATTCTTTCATTTGGGGACTGTATTATTTATTCGGACCCTCTGCGCGAGGGCATAACTGTAATAAGTGTACGTGAGTGTGTTGTATGTCTTCCAACCCCACGTCTTTCTCCCTTTTATTTATCCGCTTATGATGGTTAGATTAGGGCATATTTCAATTAGCATACAGTATGACAACATGTTTGCATTCATTCATCTGT